AGGGGTATTCTGAAATTTAGTATAGCATTAAAAAAACAAATTCTACCTGCTAAAAAGTACTTTGACAACTAATAAAATGGTTTGCCTACTTTTCATTGCAAAGACACATAAAATTTGAAACTAAAGCAATATTTACCTGGGTTATCTTAAGAGGTTTTATAACTCATTTATATTTTATTTAAAATAATTTTCCAAGTTGGATATTTTAATTTAGAAATGTAAATTCTGCCTAAAGAAATAATGAGGTAGATAATACAAATATATTTATAAATTGTACTTTTTAGGAAGTATAAACATAGCTGCTTCTTCTACTACATAGTTTGCTATCAGTTTATAACCACAATATGTTATCGTCAATAAAAGTTTTCCTTTGTGACAATTAGCATAAATACATCAGCTGTACATTGGAAAAACAGTAGGATTTAAATGTAGCTTTAAATGAAAATACCGTTAAACATTATCAAATAGTAAATATGAAAAAAGTGAGATTTTTTTTAACAGTCTCATTTTCCTTAAAAATTTTAATTAAAAGAAAATCTAGTTAAGAATATATTAAAGGCATTACTCATATAAAACACATTGGCATTTGTAATATTTCTGGCTCAGCTAAAAGAATAAGTAATTACTATTTATTGACCACTTACTATATGTAAAGCATTGTACTTAGTGATATACATATCTAATCTCATACAGTCCTGACCATAACACTATGAGGTAGTCACTTTATTTCTATTTAGATGAGGAAACTAAATCAAACTTTCTTGTTATATTATAAAAATAAGTCTTCATAGTCTACTACCAAATTAAGTAAATCCATGCTTTGATTAAAAAATGTAAACAGGTCTGGGCCATTGGCTCATTGGTTAGGAGTTGGCTTGGGATGCGAGCTCTGAGCAGCAGGACCCCAATTTAGATCCTACATGAGGGCCAGTGACACTGCCCTCTACAGCTAAGATGGTGAACAACAGCTCAACCTGGAGCTGGGCTGCCATGAGTCACCAGGGACGGTGTAGGCTGCAGTGGGGCTGGCCGGCAGCAGGCGTGAGCTTTCGTGAGCCGCCGTGAGGCGCCATGAGTGGCCATTGGATGGCCACTCATGGCGCCTCACGGCGGCTCACGCTGGCTGCCAGCCACTCACAGTAGCTTACGGGAGCCCACTGCAGCCCCACTGCAGCCTATGCCATCATTGGCCACTCACAGCAGCCCAGCTCCAGGTTGAGCTGTTGTTCACCATCTTAGCTGTAGAGGGCGCAGCATCACTGGCTCTCATGTGGGATATGAATTGGGGCCCTGCTGCTCAGAGCTGGCACCCCAAGCCAACTCTTAACCAATGTGCCACTCCACCAGCCCTCCTTTGGTTTTTAAAACCCTATTTGCTGACAATAAATATTAAATTTTTCCCAACAATACTCAAAAAAGTTTATCTTTTATGCATATAACATTATCTTTCAGTTGTTTTTAGGAGCCTGAGTCAAACATAAGTTTTATGACGAGTACACAGATCTATTGCTGACTAGTCATTAAGTAGCATAAACCAAAGAGCCAAGAGTTGGTAGCAAGTAGAAGAAATGCAGTAATATATGTTTAATTCTAGATTTCCAAGACAAATTTATTTTTCTTAACCAAGTAGTCTATAATATTACTTAGGGCATAAAATCAACACTGAAGTTCCAGTGACAGGGGCCTGGTAGAGTGGTGGAAATGAGTCTCCAAAGAAATAAACTCTCGACGCTGGCTGAGATTTGCATCTAAGTGGCTTTCAACCACTTTAGAAAAAGCTAGAAGGTGCTCTCATGCTCAAAATCAACTCAAATGTTTTACCTTCAAACCAAAGGTTGTAAAAGGGACAGCTCACCTTATATTATGACTTAATACACTAATGGAAGAAATATTTAAATATTTAAAATAAGCATTGTGTCTGTAAACAAAGAGCAATTACAATGGCTAGTTTATACGTTCACCTATGCTGAAACACTATCTTGTAAGGACCAAGCTATCACTGAGAACACGGTGCTAGCCAGTGTGATGATCAATTGTGATAAAAGTGAGGTTTTAGTATTTTAAATGCTTGTTTCTTTTCCCAGTCTTTTTATTCGTTTTCAGTTGCTGAATCACACCAAGTACCATGGTCACATCTGAGGTAGTCTAATATGGAACAGGATTCCAAAAATTAATTATAAATATAAGATGGCTTGGTTTTTCTGGTGATCAGCCCCCGTCCATGGGTTCATGCCTGCGTGCATATGCATGCGTGTGTGTGTGTGTGTGTGTGTGTGTGTGTGTGTGTGTGAGAGAGAGAGAGAGAGAGAGAGAGAGAGAGAGAGAGAGAGGGAGGGAGAGAGGGTCCAAGTTTAACCAGATTAAAGGAGAAAAACTATATAATCATTTAAAAAATTCAGAATTTGCATTAAATGAAATTTACATTCATGCATGATAAGAACAACAGCTCAGCAAATTAGGATTAAGAAGGAACTTCCCTCACCTAATTAAAAACAAAACAAAACCTCAGCAACATAATATTTAATGGTAAAATTTTAGAATGCTTTTTTCAAGTCAGGAATAAGGTGAAGATGTCTATTCTGAACGATGTCTTAGTGTGCCTACTCAGTGCCTAAAAAAGAAAATGGTATCAAGTGTGGAAAGGAAGAAACAAAATTGCCATTATTCATAAATGATATTATTGCCCACACTGGAAACCCAGCAGAACCAATGAATCACAGCAAGATAAAAGAACATAAATATATCAAATGCAAGGTTGCTGCATATGTGATCAGCAGTCAAAAGTCAAGAGTATTCCTGTACACTAGCAATAAATAATTAGAAAATTTAAAAAACTCAATTCACAATGGCATTGAAATCTTTAAACTATCCACAAGTAAATCTAGTAAGTCTCTTTTATAGAGAAGAGCATAAACTAGACATATTGATTTTAAAATGCTATGTTATGAATTCTGTGATGGATAAACTGAACACTGGAAAAGACTAGAAACTGGAAATACACCCACCTTTCTATGAGATCTCAGTATATTACATGTCAGTGGGAAAAGAATGAATGTCTTTTGGCTCCAGATAACAGAAAAACAATTGTCAAAATGGCTTGAACAATGAGAAAAATTATCATCTCACAAAACCAGATATTTTGAAGTAAGGCTCAAGGTCACCATTAAGGATTTAAGTTTTCTTCTGTCTTCCTAAGGATATCAGCGAGCTCCCTTCATTACCACAAAATGTTCAACATGTCACAAACATACATCAAGAGGCAGAAAAAGGAGTTTGTTCCTTCAGTATGTATCTTTCTATAAGAGCAAAAGAAAATCTTTCCTAGAAACATTTTCAGCAAACTTCCCTTTGTCTCTCTTTGGCTAGAACTGCTAAACCAATCATGAAGTGGGGAAATGTGAATACCAATATAGTCTGAGACCAACTAGGATTTGCTTGAATCATGTGGGAAAAGACTAGATACTGGAACAAAACTGGTGTTCTGCCAACATGAGAAAGAGAAAAATGACTGTTAGATAAGTATTCTATAGAACAATAGAATATTGCATAAATATAAAACAGTTTTTGCTGTTGCCCAACAGACAAAAAATGTGCAAAGTATAAGAATGAGCAACTGACAGAAGAGGAAAATCGAATAGCCAATAATAAGTGCTATAAAAGATGCTCAGATTCATAGTAGTCAGAGAATTGCAAATGTATACATCCAGGTAGAATTAACCCACTATACAAAATGTTTAAGTTTGATAATAGTGAGTGCTGGACTCTATGCTGGGAAACAAACTGTCATCCATTCTTGGCAGAAGGTCAACTATTATAGTTGAACTTCTTTGGTGATCTATTTGATGATATTTAGTAAACTCAACAATATGTGTAGTGAACAATCTAACAGTCCTCTCCAAGGTGTATATCCTCAAGAAACTCTTTCACATGTGTACCAGAAGACATGTTCCAGGATATTCATCACTTTCTTACTAATCCCACACAAACACACACACACACACACACACACACACACACACGGCATGCAAGCATGCACACAAATATGGAACAGCCTAAATATACATCAATATGGACTGGATAAATAAATTGTATATTCATACTATCAAATAGTATGGTAGAGTTTAAACAAATGAACTAGATCTATACACATCAACTTGGATGTGTATAGTTTATGTGACTATATAAAAAGTAAAGCTCATAATATTCTGTATTATTTATAGGGAAATATTAATTAATATTTAATGAATAAAAATATAGAAACAAAGAATCAAACTTGTCATTACGTCTGAGAAAGAAAAAAGGAGACTCAGATCAGGAAAGGGTATAGTATCAGTGATGCTTCAACTTTATCTCTATTTTTATTTCTCTAATTTAAAAAAGCATAAAATAAATATTAAAGACTAGTAAGCTATATTGAGTCTATTTGGAGAGTACATAGATATTTGTCACTTAATGTATTTTGAAATACTTTACAATTTTTAAAAATATATCTTTATAAAAAAGTTTTCCATGAAAATAGTTCAATCATGAAAAGGTCCTATCCCACATACAAATTTCTTCATAAAACTACAAATAGAGTTTGCCTCCTTTCATCTTTTACTAAGCCACATGCCATGTATGCATTTTAAGAATTTGAGACTAGTGTCAGAAGAAATGCAATTAGCAATAATATTCTACAGAAGTAGCAGGAACTGAATAAAGATGCCACAAAGATCAAGAAAGGTCCAAGTGGAATGAAATTTAAAAGAGGTTTTCAAAGGTTAGTCAAATGCTCAAACAACATTCTTAGTATTGAGTATGAAGCCAAAGATGTCACTGTCAAAAAACAAAAGATATAGACAAAGTTTCTATTTTAATTTGAGGGCATAAGGAGAATACGATATAGAGCATATGTCAACAATAGGATTTATTACTAAGACCACAATAAATATCAAAGTTTTTCCATGGAAGCAAAAATTTTAATTATTAATATTCCCCAGAAGCTCCCATAGCCAACATACCTGGAGAAGGAGCCTTTCAAAAGCCAGAAAGTTGTCCCACTTGGCAGTCTGCGGGTGTTTCAGAGTTTGAACAGTGGCCAGCCCGAGCTGTAAGAGTCCACAGTGATTCACTAAAGCTTTGAGATTGTTCTTGAAGAGCTGAATATAGGATGTCAGCTGCCCTGGAGTGACTCTCCCTGGAGAAACATAATAATTTTTCAATGAACCCTCTTCTGGGAGTGGTACAAATAATGAGAAGAATGCCATTAATAATACTAACTGCCTTATATTGGGACAGAATTTCATAGTTGACTGCAAGCTTTGCTAAGCTATTGTGATTTTTACAACATGGTGACAACAGTGAAGTTGACAGCATCACCTGCATTTTGCAAGTAAGGAAACAGATGTTAAGTGATCTGGCCAAAGTCATATTACTAGTAGGATTCATTTTCTAATTCTGCAGTACCCAGTAAATAAGTTCTCAAATAAAGTCACACAAATATTTGTTGAGCTCAACATGGATACTTCATCAAGACATATAATTTATCAATCTGAGAAGCAAGATTTCTAATTGTGTGTATATGTATATAAAGTAACAGGAGAAATCTGTTATGACTGTAGCTACAACTTTGTCACAGATATCAGTGGGTTCATGACAATACAAGGATAAAAAAGCTGGCTGTTACACAAAACAAAAATGTATAGAACACCAGGGTGGCAAAAACACGGGAAGGTGACATATCAGAAGGAAGGGTTTGGTGACATAATACATTTGCTACAATGATCACCTAGATTTAGAACAAGAGAACCCACATCATAAAAAACTAAAGATTGTACAAAAACAAAAATAAACAAAAACCGAACCTGCTGAAGATCACTCCTTTAGAGCCTCTAAGTACAACTTTTGCATATAGCAGTCTTTCAGTTGAGTCACTTCTCACTCTCCAATCTGTCAAATTTAATTCCTGCCATTTATCAGTGCTATGCACAAAACTCCTGAACGCCACAAATTCTCCCTATTGGGCAAGAAGGCACTGGGGCCAAACATAGATGCAAGTCAAGTACATCTTTCTTACACATCATACCCATGCTGTGTTTGTGGATTGCTCTCTGATGCCTGAAATCCAAGTTTGTTTGTTATATCCAGGTTTGTTAAGAATACTTTACAATGAAACCACCTATCTTTATTTAGCACTTTACAGTTTACACAATGCAGCCATGGCCTCTTCTGATTCTCATAGTAACTCTAAGAGGTAGCAAACGAGGCACGTGCTGCATTCTTAGCCCCACCTGAGGCACTGAGTTTAGTGCCTTACACGGTGCTAAATGGCTGATATCATTTAATAAATGGTTTCTGCTATAGAGCATAACACAAAAAAAATAAAGACCTAGACAGAAAAAACTTCTACGCCTGACACATTCTTTTCATTACAGTTTTTGAGGAGATTAAGAATTTTGGAGGCTCTTGTTACCAGTTTGTCAGGGTGAGAATCTGAAGAATAAGAATAGCAGGAATGATAAGTGGGGAGGTGAATCTCACTAGTTTCTTTGTTCCCTTGGTAGAGCATGAGTTCATTCCTGATCCTCAAAGCAGCAAGCTAACGATTTGCTTGCTTAAGGACTCATAGAGAAAAGTCTCATGAACTCTGTTTGGTTTTGAGTCAGGCTTATTAAGGTATAACTTCCATACAGTAAAATTCATCCTTTCCTGAAGTACAGGCCTATGAATTTTGACAAATGCATACAGTCGGGTAAGCACTATCATAATCAACATAGAGACCATCTCCCTCTTCGTAGTCAATTCTCTTTCCCCACCCTGCAGCCCTTGGTGAACACTTTACCTGTATTTATCTGATTTGTGTCTCACAGTTTTGCCTTTCAAGAATGTTATATAACTGGAATCATACTGTACATAGCCTTTTGAGTTTGGCTTCTTTCACTTGAGCATGATGTATTTGCTATTGATCAGTGTTGCTGTATATATTCGTAGTTTGCTCCCTTTTGGGACTGAGTAATATTCCATCATATGCATGTGCCACAGTTTATCTATACATTCACCAGTTAATGACCATCTGGGTTGTTTCCAAGTTTTAGAAATTATGAAGAAAGCCTTTACAAACATCCATATACAGGTTTTTATGTGTGTATGTGTGTGAACATATGGTTCCATTTTTCTTGGGTAAATTTTTAGGACTGGTGTTGCTGGGTCATATGTTAAGTATACATTTAACTTTATAAGAAACTGACCAACTGATTCCCAAATGTGCTGCCCCACCAGCAACATATGAGAGTCCTAGTTGCCTCACAGCCTCACCAGCACTTGGTATTTATTGCTAGTTATTTGGATTTTAGTCATTCTAACAGGTGTGTAGCAATATTTCATTGTGGTTTTAATTTGTATTTTTCTAATGACTAACAATGTCGATCATCTTTTCCTGTGCTTATTTGCCAGCTCATATCTTTTTTGGTGAAGTATCTGTTCAAACCTTTTGCCCATTTTTTATTAGGTTGTTTATTATTATTGAGTCGTGTCATTAATTTTTATTAATTCGTTGCTTCAACATATATTTCTGTGCCAGGCACTGTTCTTGCTGCTAAGAATAAATCCATGGACAAATCAGACAAAAATCTCTGACCTCATGGCCAACAAATAAAGAAGACAAACAATTCCTTGATGCTCTCCTAATTAATTCAGCCTACTACATGCTATTCTTTCATAGGGGATGAGGACCTTTCGTGTCAATAATTAACATGTTTACACAATGACATCTTCAAATGTTAAATATTGACATTAAATATATGAAAACAAATTTTCACACAAAATGGGTTCAAGTCTAAGATCACCATGAGCCCCATTTATTTGTTTATATACTGGACTGCAGGTGATGGCAGCGTGCGTGGTTCCTGGACACACAGAGCTTTGTCTATCAAGAGAGGTATTCATACAACAATTACAGAAATAATTACTTAATCAGTATTGTGATAAGTACTGTTAAGCAAAAATACAAGATGTCTTAAAAGCATGAAAGGCTGGCTGTGTATGATATGAACTGCCTACCTCTCCAATCCTATCTCTGCAACTGAAGGAGGAGGAATTAAACATGCTCAAAATATACACAATCTATTCATAATCTAACTGTCTTTTAGAGAGTCCATAAGAAATGGAAATCATCAGAGAAAGTCATCAGAGGGGCTATTTAGATTTCCACGGTAATAATGATATGTTCAATTGAAAGATAAGAGTGTCTTTGATTCAAAAACATAGTTGAGCTTTTTATCCAGTTAGCGTTTCCTAGCTCAGACTCAGACACTGTAACCATATTTATATAATGCCCCTTCTCACACAAGACATGTGATCCAAAGGAATAAATGGATATATTTCACAACAAGAAATGCCAACAGAATAATGTGAATTTAGCAATTATTCACCCTTGCTGCTCTGTTCTGTTCCCCTGTATATCTTTTTCTCACACACACAAGCCACTAACACTTCATTAGATATGTCACAAAAGCAGAGTTTGGGGGGTAAAAATCCATAATATGCAAATCGGAATTGAGTAAGAGTACTACACACAGATGTTTTAAAATGTATGCTTCAAAATCTTAAACTTAATCACAACCTTAATAAAACAAGCCAAAATCAACCAGTTGACTACCAAAAATGCTATAATGAGACTAATAACTTGAGAAAGCTTTTCAGTTCATATCAACTAAAACAGCAAGCTACTAAAACCAGGTGTTGAAAAAGTCATAGACAGAGCATTTATTCATATCTCACATTACAAAACAAAACAAAACAAAAACCTTGTCAGGCAGATTTACATGTTGATTTTAAAATTTTAACCCAGCAGGCTTTGCAACACATTTTTTAAAGCCATAAAAATAAGGGTCATTTTATACCAAGACTGCATAACATATAGCAACTTTTTCAAAAGTGGTCATTTGAAATTTTAAAAATGGTTTTCAAGTAAGAAAAGCTATTAGGCTTTCTTTTTCTTTTTTATAGCTTTTAAGAAAGAGAAACAGGCTTCTGACTTCAATTCAAGAGAAAAACACAAAACTTTATCAACCATCAATGCTACATGTATTTAAAAACTCATGAAAATATAATTACCTCTTGGGGGAAAGGGGACAGATTTGAAAAATAAAAGGATTTAATATTTTAATATCATGTGCAATCCTTACAATATTGAATTCAAATGCACACTGGAGCCTATTTCTCTACTTACTGTATACACTTAATAAATTATAACTTTCTCTGTTTTGTGGCTTGTTAAAATATATTTAAAATATCTACACATATATGATTCTTTGTTGATATTCTTAAAAAGTATTCTGTCAGTGCCAGGCTTGATTTAATTGCAAAACTGTGTCTTAATGGTACAAAGCAGCCACACACACAGAAATTTGTCTAAAATAACATATTTGCTATTCAATGGTTTTTAAAAAACTCTTGATATAAGAAACAATAATACTGTCATTTTATGTGTTTTATTCATTTTCCTAATACCATTAATGAAAACACAGTGTGTGAAATTTAAATAAACAAACTTACGTTTACATATATGATTCTTTGTTGATATTCTTAAAAAGTATTCTGTCAGTGCCAGGCTTGATTTAATTGCAAAACTGTGTCTTAATGGTACAAAGCAGCCACACACACAGAAATTTGTCTAAAATAACATATTTGCTATTCAATGGTTTTTAAAAAACTCTTGATATAAGAAACAATAATACTGTCATTTTATGTGTTTTATTCATTTTCCTAATACCATTAATGAAAACCCAGTGTGTGAAATTTAAATAAACAAACTTACGTGCTTTAAGACTTGAGTTACCAGAAATCAGCATCGCATTTATCTCCTTTTTAATCATTTTTCCAATATCATAAAGGCAAAGTACATTAAAATATTAAATCGAATACATTCTGCTAAAACTCTGGTTTATTAGCTCACACACAAACAGGAATAATTTCCATATTACACAAAAATCACATCTGTTAAGTGCCTCTTTTTTCTCATTATTTTAACATTTTTTTGCCACCAAATAACAGCAGCTGAACCCAAAGTAATCGAATACAGCTGAACACTAGAAGCCACAAGAGGAACTGAGCACTGTATGCAGCTCCCAGGTATCCCTAGCTCCTCCTCTTGGCTCTGCCTGGCCGTGTGTCCTGCCTTAGAAGTGCTTCCAGTTT